TGCGGCTGGAGCTGAACACTTTACAGCAGAAATATGATCAGCTGACGGAGGAGAACAAAGAGCTGAGGAGCCGGGTGAGATCTTACACTCGATTCTCTACACCGCTTTACTCAAACTCCAGCTTCAAACGCTGTGTAGAAACCGTAGTTCTGTGATTATAGTGTTTGTGTTCGTGTGAATTACAGCTGCTGCAGTACGAGCCGGCGCAGGACGCGGGAACAGAATAACTACTACTTCTTGACATTTTGAGATATTTCTTCACCGCAGTAGAAATCTTTGAGTTTGTTCGTTTTGTCATGTCGGAGAAGTGAATTTTATTTTTTGGTTATTGTTCAACAAATTTGTGCCTGATATTTAATAAAAGCATTTTTTGCACTGTTCCTGATTGATTTCTGATGTTTAGTGATTTATAAAACTACAAACTATAGTTCTGTTTCACGTAACAGTTGTACACTTGAAGACCATGCTAAAACAGGCCTCAAAGCAAGGGCTTCGTATAAAATATTGGGGCTTTTTATAAATAATGCATTACTGTGATTGCTTACATCTAAGAAACTTGCAGTCACATTTAGACTGTTTTAGGGCTTCTGGCCCTCATTTCAAAGATCATATCGATTCCCCCAAGACTCCAGCAACAGGCAGTGATCACGTGCAGGACAAACGATACTGACGCTGTGGTCCGTTTGCTTTGAACATGATATATTACTATACACTTCCATATGTGATCTTTTCCACAAAGCCCTGCACAGATCAGTAGCAATCCAAAACTTGAATGCAGGTTTATCAGTTGCATTTGTGTAACAGCCATATCCTACTAAATAACCTCAAATGCTTAGAGTGCATGACATAGTTCTGTGTTCTGTGATCAAATGAATCGTCAGCTGGCTGAAACTCTCCAGATGTCCATCACAGGAAGGTGAAACAGCAACTTTGTGACAGATGCACTGGATTATGGGAAGTAATCCCCCATCTTTGTATCTTTGTCTTAATGCACATAGTTCAGTGCATGGGTTTGTATATCCCTTACAGAATCTGCGAGATACATATTTAACAGCAGATATTTTATCTCCGCATAACTTCTGCAAGCTTATACAAACTAGTACTCCGCCTGTCTGCTATTTACAGCCTCACTGCAGTACCTATGCATTAAAACATAATCCTACAGATAAATGCAAATTCTCTTTTCATCAAAACAAGTCTTTAAAATGAGACTTCCTCTTAAAAAGCTTGTCTTCCAGGCCGTTACAGCAGAGACCACTGTGCACATCACTGTAGACACTCGGATATGTGTCTGTTATAGATGGGTTGAGCTAAAAACATCTATAAATACGAAACCCAACAACACACAGTCACGACGCCTCATTCTTTAACGGTGAATACTGAAAAGCTCCCGACTGTAAATAAAGCTTCAATCCTTTTTCAAAGCGATAGTTCACCCAAAAATGATCATTCTGTCATCATTAACATATTTCCTATCATATCAGTTTCTTTCTTCTGCTGAATACAAAAAAAAAGACATTTTGAAGAATGTGGGTAATCAAAGATCTGATG